AACTTCGTTGGTCATTACGCAATAACGTGGTCGTTTTCGGAGCAGGCRTSTCGATGYAGACTCRTCTGTAAACCGAAATGATCATTAGAAAACCCAGTTAACTTAACACTGGTCCCAACAACAATATAGTTGATCTTTGGAAATAAACCAATCAACGACAGCCTGTCTCACAACAAGGATATGTATCATCCTAATTCAAATCGCTATCTCAAATAATGCAAGACGAAAATGACGGTGAACAAAAGGATAAACACCCTCCAAGCTGAATCAAATACAAAATCCAAAGTAAAAAAAAAAAAACATAACTAAGGCTCGGTCTCGTTAGCATCGTCAACAATCTCGATAGTCTGCTCAGACGGAATCGCTGCCACAGAGTTTGACAAATCATCATCGCTTGACGAATCAGAGGAACTCAAATCCGAGTCAGCCTCCTCTTCAACGGCATCAGCGTCCAACTCCTCAACTCGATCATCACTCGCGATAACCGGCGAATCTTTAAGGATCCCTTCAAGCTCGCGCACATGATTAGCAAACACCTCGTCTGCAAGCGATAGGTTTACCTCCTGCTTCTCAAGCTCAATGAGCTCTTCACCAAGATCAGGCGCCTTGTCACTCTGAAGCAACTTTACGAACTCAATGTTACTTCGGACTTCAGCAATATCAATTATGTCAATCTTTGGTTGGCCATTGATCGCTCTAATCTTCTCCATAGCACGGACGATCCTCGCCTCATACTTCGCCGACAGTTCGCGCTTCGCTTCGTCAACAGCTCGCTGCACAGCTGTATCTTGAAGCTTGGCAGCAACATCTAATCGAGTGGTAAGGTCACAAACTTCCTTCTGAAGACGCTTCCTCTCGGATTCARACTCCGTGAACGTYCCATCCATCTTGCGRYGCCTATCCTCGGTTTCCTTCATAGAAGCTTGGAGAGTAGCAACGCGATCCTCTGCATCCCTTTTCTACTTCTTATGATCATCACAAGCCTTCTGAACATTTCCAAGCTGACAAGTCAGCGAACGCACAGTCACCTCATAGTCAATCGCAAGCTTGTTAAGCGAAGAAAGGAGCTGCCAAACCAAGGAACAAATCACGGAAAACAAGTTACAAGATCAGTAAAAAGGAAAAGGCAAATCGCTATCTCACGAAAGTTGCCACGAAGTCGTACCGTCATACAATCGAAGGCCATGCTTGAGTAAGATCTCTTCTTCGACATCTTTCCTGGAGGAGGAAACTTAGTGCCTGGGAAGACAATCTGGGACAAATGCGACGCCGCCCGCGCAGCGTCACCAAAGGACTCCTTCGTACCAAAAGGAATAGGGGAAGGCGTCACCACACGATCACATCGAGGAGTTGAAGCGTGCCTCGATCTGTTCAAATCCTCATTTCCAACACTGCCTTTCTCTTTCTCTTCTCGCGAACGCATACGATTTGCTCCTGAGCGATCATCCCTTCTCCTCATGTCATTGTTACGCCTATGCGATGATTCAGATCGACGATCGGTGATGACAACAACATTTCGCTCTAACTCGGGACGACGCGGCCTAGGTGCAAGGGTTCCAGTAGTGCCAGTTCTGGGGACTGACGTCAACGGTCTAGCTTGTTGAGACACTCTCGTGTTCAAATCTGTCCTGGCCTCGGTAGCTCTCCGCTCACGAGCAGATGGTTTCCTCGCATTGTCTGACATCTCTAGTGACGAATTCAACGAAGTAACTCCAAAGCAACGAACAAGCAACTCAATTCTCTTCTCCGCTGCACCAATAAGCAACGATCGAAGTCAGTTTTTCTCCACAAACCTAGCCTTGTCATCGAGCCGTCAAGTCGCTGAGTCGCCGAGTTAAAAAAAAAAATAAAAAGTCGACCGAATCAACTCAGTGAGTCAACTCGGACGAGTCAACTCAGTGAGTCAACTCGGACGAGTCAACTCAGTGAGTCAACTCGGACGAGTCAACTCACTGAGTCAACTCGCCAGATGTCTCAAACGACGGATCTCGCCGTCGTTTTGCCGTATCCTCGATCTCGCCTCGCCGCCGACTTTCCGAGAAGCTCAACGGCACGACCAGCACGATT